AAATAAAATAAAAAATAAAACAAAAAAATTATACGAGCAATTGTAACTAATATTAATGTTTGCCATGTTAACAATTTGTTAAAGTATACAATTTTTTAATAAAGCTGTTGCATATTTTCAAAGTTTGTTCTGCAAATCTAATTGACGCTTTTGTGCCACTGTGCAATGGCTCTTGCAGTTCATTGGCAGCTGCCTAACATGGCTTACGCATCCTGGCCATGAACTTCGGTCTTCTCTCTCTCTCTTTCTCTGCATCTCCCTCTCTCTCTCTCTCTCTCTCTCTTTCGTCTCGCAGCAGGCAAATGTGTGTCTATGCTCACTGGCGGCACTTTCTGTGGCTTAAGGTCGTATCCCATTGCGGCTGTTGTTGTTGTTATTATTGTTATTATTGTTGTTGTTGTTGGCACAGGTCAAGCGGTCGTTCGTCAGTTTATTGACTCACGCGATAATTTCGCATTGTTTCAGAATTTTTTGTCAACGCTTTAAAAATTCAATAATAAGAAATTTGCTCTAGGCGGGATTGAAGCACTAACAAATACTCAGCATGTACAAGCATAGAGAGGGAGAGTGAAAGAGTGAATAGAGAGCATAGAGTGGGGGAAAAAGAGGACGAGACGAGAGTTAGAGATGAGAGAGAAAGCAAGAGAGCGAGAGGGAAAGAGGAAGGGAGAGGGACCGTGGAAATAGGTGAGAATAAGAGAGACAAGGAGCGAGCAAGTTACAGAGAGAGAGAGAGAGAGAGAAAGAGAGAGATAGAGAGAGATAGAGAGCAAAGGAGCGGGAAAGGTGTCTGCTATGAATAATTCTCAAAGTATACTCAAAACAAAAAGTTGAAAATTTTTCATAATAAATAAATAAATTAATTTAAGCAAACCATCTCAAAATTTCTTCACACACACAGTAAATATTTTTCATTCAGAAACAAAAGGTATCAAAAGTCTGTAAAGATTTCATTAAAGTGATATAAAGTGGTAAGAAAATGACCCATATTCAATCATGAGGAATGGTCTGCAAAATTGACCTGGGCTAGGCACATGCCCCAAAGCGCCATCTAGCGACGGCCAAGTTTAGCCATAGTTTGGAGGATAGAACAACTGGAATTGGTCAAACGCTTCGACTCGAAAAATTACTTCAAGCACTTTGTAGAATAGAAAAAAGAAAAATCGAACAAAAACAGTTGTCTTAGTAGGCATAGACTTTGAAATCAGTAAGCCTAAGGACTAAAGACTTTTAGGGGTCTCACAAATCACAATCGAAAGCAAACTCAAACAGTAAAGTTAGAGAAAAAAATTTCCTAATTTTTTCATAATTTCGGCTTGATTTTATAATTTTGAAACTCGCGAATTTAAAACGAAGGCTGCTCCATTTAACTGGACAAAAGCGTAGTCTAAAAGCGGAAAAGCAATCAAAGTTTAATAAGAGAACGAAAGGAAAAGAAGAAGAGGAATTGAGATTTCGAAAAGATCAACAATGCCGGAGATACCATTTGTTATTTATGATGAAGATGTGGACTTTTTCTCAGTCCTCAATATAGAGATCTCTATGGAGCCTGAAGCTCCGGCTGAGCTAATCGTTCCCGATGAGCCAGTCCTCCCCGATGAGCCAATCGCCCCCATCAATCCAGTGGTAATCACATTGTACGACGGCGGAATGCCGGACGAAGTATTCGAGCAGATGCTGTACGACGTGGAGAATCGCACTGATGGCAACACAACCGTCATCTATGTAACACTGCATTTTATGTTATAATCGACTCGCAAGCATACATATCTTTTTGGGGGTCGCACACACACACACACATACCTATATATACCCCTTAATCATGCTTGTAGAACTGTTGCTATGCATTTTTCAATAATAATCGATTTGCTTAGCGAAAATGCAAAGTTCAAATAATTTGATAATGTTTTGTTATTTGTTTACATTTGTTGTGATTGTTGTTGTTATTATTATTATTTTATTATTGTTGCTGCGAGTGTCTGGAATGGACTCTCGTCTAGGCTCGAGTATCGCACCGCCCGCCAGCATCCCAGGCACCCGCTTTTCGCTTCTGGGTCAATAATCTGCGTCTGAGTCGCCGTCGTGTTGCACTGGCGCCCACTTGTCGCTCATGTCAATCAATGAAGATCCAATTTTAGCACAAGTAAACAATATAGACATATTGCCCGCTGGGCAGCCTCTGGCCGATCCGTCATCTCTCTCGACGACATCATCAGCAGCGACGGCATCGAGTAGTAGATGCGAATTCCATCTATACTCCAGCTGGGGTAGCCGCCCACAAATCTTATCAGCTCCACCTCCAACTTCTCATCTCTCTCTCTTTCTCTCCCTCCCTTTCTCTGTTATCTCATATATAGAATATACAATGTATATCTGTTTGTGATACATTTGTTAGTACTAGACTAGACTAGACTAGACTAGACTGTCCCTGTAGCTCTCTAGACTTTCTGATTCTACAGAGTTTATGTAGTCAAAATTCATTGTATTTCGGATATATTCCATTATATTATATTATTATCCCAATTTATTATATGTTCTATTCTCAAGTTCCAATCTCTTTGACAAAATGTCCCCACTATATACACGAAATTCCCACTAATTTACATTATTTCCCATTATTTCCAATAATTTGTCGTATGCTCGAATATACAACTTTGTTTTCCTTCTTTGGAATTGACTTATAGATCTATTTAACGTAATTGAATTGATGTACATTGAAAGCATTTTTTAGTTTAGAAGTTCCCCCTATTTATTCAATATTTCCGCAGGCGGTTCAAGAAACAATGAAAATCTGAAATTCCCATTATTTTGAGTTAAGCAATTTCCTAGAACTGAATGCATTATTACATATGCAACTTCAGCATATGACAAATTCCCTTTATTAGTTGATTTAACTGATTCACCCGATTATCCAATTTCCATCCCTTAATTCCCCCCAGCTAAGCTGAGCCGCGTATGCAGTCGAAATAGTCGCTGCTGTCAGCCAGTCAATTCGCCGAGTCTTGCTCATCGCTCAGACTTTGAACCCCGTTGCGTACACGGCACCAGACCCCAAGACCCAAGACCCCAGACCTAACACCCAAGAGCCGACGCGCTCCAGACACGACAAGCGCCGACAGCCGACAGCCGACAGCCGACAGCCGACGAGACCCAACCATTTGCTTATCAACAACAGCAACAAACAACAATAACTTGTCAATGCTTCTCAGAGAATAGATCGCCTTCTCACTCGCCCGCTCTCACTCTCTCTCTCTCTCTCTCTCTCACTGTCTTTCTCTCTCGCACTGCAGCGCTTTGTCTCTCTGATAGATTGTGCTAAAAATAGGGAGGTCTACGATTGGGCGCGCGCTGTTATTTTTAATGGAAACTAGATCCCGTTGAATTCACGTTGCGTTGTTTACGTTTTTACTGCCGTTACGCTCGCAGGCTGCGCTTGTTGTTGCTGTTGCTGTTGTTGCTGCTGCTGCGGCTGCGGCTGTGGCTGTGGCTGCTGCTGTTGTTGTCGCGGGTTTCCGCTCTTATACGGCTGGCTGCAACAAACAACAACAACAAGAGCAACAGCAGCTCAAGCAACCAAAACATCAACATGCCTTATCTGAGAGCATTACCGTTATCAAAGCAGAGCTCGCACACACACACACACACACGCACACTTATTTGTGTACGTAATAGTAGATGCTCCACAACAAGCCAAGGACCCAATGCGTACTACGCACCAAAATAAAAGAGGAAAAATAAAAATAAAAAATGAAAAAAAAAAATAAAAATAAATAAAAAATAAAAATAGTTGCTCAATGTTATATAAGCAATCCTGTTGGGAAAGCCCAGCTTTAAAAAGAAGAAAATAACAATAGCAACAAGAACAACAGCAGCAACGACAATAATAACTAAAACAAATAATAAACAAGTCTTATCTGCCTGCCCTCTATGCCAATTATAGGGACCAAAACAAATATTTAACTTTAAATTGCTTCAAAATGAGTTGATAACATAAATACATTCATAAATGCACATATAAACATACATATATGTGTACTTATGTACATCAAATAGACATTGGGCTTTAGCTCGATACCAGTGCCAATTGAGTATTATCTCTACAAGCAAATCTTGCCGCTTACTGTAGCTGCATTCCCCGCCCGCCAACCGCAACGCCTAACAGCTGATAATCGGCAAGGCATTCGGCTCAACTGGTTTGCCAACTAGAATTCCCAGAACAGCAACAACAGCAACAGTAATAACAGCAACAACAACAACAACAGCAGCAGCAATATCAATAAGAGTGCACAGGTTAAACAATGTTGCTGCTTGTCGACCCCAAACAATGTAGAGTGTGGAGAGAGGTATAGTACGAGCGCCAGTGAGAGAGTCAACCGGAGAGAGCGAGAGTGTGGAAGAGGTTGATGCTGCTGTCACTGTGATGGATTCACTCTACACACATATGTACATGCATACATATATATGTAGTTGCTCTTTTTGTTTGCATTGTTATTCGTCGTGTACTCAAGCCGATAACTCACACAAAATGCACTTGCAATATACACACATTTATATCTATGAATGTACATATGTATGCAGGAGTGCGTGCGTGTGTGTACTTTGTTCAACAGCAAATATTATTAATATTGTCATTGTTATTGTTATTAATGCTGAATACAGCACAGACACACATACACGCACACATGCACTTCCACACTCATGCTGGTCGTGGCTACAGTGACCCCTCGATATTTGCTTTCATGAGCAATAATTTTTAGGGGGAGAATTTTCAAAATATTTCTTTGCATCAAAAATAATACTAAGAAAAAATTATGAAACACAAAGAAAATAAATAAATAATTAAAAAAAACTAATTTAGTTTTATTGTAGACATTTTAAAATAAAATACACGTCAATGTAATATTTGTATTTTATATAATACATATATACTATTAAGTATTCCCTACGCTTCAATAAAATGTACTTAGCTTTTATTAGAGTTTTTTGACAGTCTTAAGCCCAATGTGCGGGCACAGTGCAAAGCACAGTTAGGGCAGCGTAATGCGAATTATGTAGCCATACATACAGACATGCATGCAGACCTACATGCACGTACATACATATGTATGTATGTACGTATGTGTAGAGCTTATGAATATCAATGCAGAGATCGACAGAACCGTTACTCGGGTGCTCTGCTCAGTTCGGGTGGCAATAAGATGGATGTTTCAAGAGGCGCTTGCAGCACACAAAAGAATTCGAATTTTTCAATTCGGCTGTGAAACAACAAGCGAGTGCCTAAAAAAATTTACATTCATACACATACAAACACAAACACACATGCATACAATATGTACAAGATTTACAAATAAAACCAACAGAGGGTGCTTATAGTACGGAGATGTAACTGTTACAGCAAATGTGCAATTAGTGCAAGTACCAAAAAAGGAACGTAGAAATAGCACCGTTGATCAACACTGAAAAGCGGAACTAAAACCAACTCGCCATCAAAAACCAATCGACTTTGGTGCGAAACACTTGACGAACGTTCGTTCGCAGGAAACGAAGAAAATAAATAAAAATAAGCAGACGGAAAAGCCAAAGGAAAGTCAATCAGACGACAAAGCAAGCGAACAAATAAATCTTGCAAGTGCCTTGAGTGAGTGTAAGTGTGTGTACGTTAATGTATGTAACTGTGTGTGTGTGTGTGTGTGTTTTAGTAGTAGCCTCTGTGTATGTGTGTGCGTGTGCGTATGCATGCGTGTATGTTGAGTATATGAGATAACAACAAAACGCACAGCAGTCACAGCTGCAGCCTCAGCCACAGCCACAGCCACAGTCTGAGTCGGACGTCTGTGTCTAATTATAGAACACTGGTCGCTAAAAATACAATTCACATCGGTTCGCCCCGTAAACGCTGTGCGGCACAGCCACAGTCACAAACACTGGCAAACACACGAATCATTAACAGGCAAACCACAACTAACTTAACGAAGCGGGAGAGCGCGTGCCAAAAACTGTCACTCAGAGAGCAGGAGGAGCAGAGTAGAGCAGTGAGCGAGAGTGAGAGAGAGGCAAACAGATAGAGAGCGCGTGCAAGAGGTTACAATTTCGTAATAAGTGTGCAGGCCAAGCAGCTGATTGTTTATTTGATATTACCGATAGCAAGACACACACACACACACACAGCCGATGGTTTGAGTAGAGGCGTTTACCGATCGTCGAGTAAACAAAAGGAATCAAAGAAAGAGGAGGGCTGCAAGGGCAACAGCACGAAAGCTTAGTCAGCGAAAGCCCCCAACAACAGCAGCAGCAATAACAACAACAATAACAACAACAGCAAGAACTACAGAAAAAGCAGGAGTCAACGCAGGAACACAACAGTTACTACGTTTGGCTGTGTGAGTGGCCGAGGCAGCCAGAGAGTGCGAGCGAGGAAGAGAGAGCGAGCCCAAGCAACAGAGCTCAGCTCAGCTTTATATTGGAAAAGAGAGGGGAAGCGAGCGAGAGAGAGAGAGAGTGAGACAGAGTGAGAGAGAGAGAGAGAGAGAGAGAGTGTCGGCCTGTGCGCGGCTCTGTCTGTCTGGTCTGTCTGTGCAAGTCGCTTGATCAACGATCAACGACACGCCGAGCCTGTTCATCAAAGCGCGTTCCAAATCCAAGCCAGACGCATCGTTGGGTCGTGCGCTCCAACGCAAAAAAAAAAGAAGAAAAAAAAAAACACTCAAACAGTCTGCAGCAATCGGCGATTGGTCGCGGCGTATCAGGACCCCACCGAAACTTCATACTCGAAGCCGCAAGAGAAAACAAAAGCAACTGCAACGGGGGCAACAACAACAACGAAATGCAACAAAATCGCCAAACTGCGCGCGAGCTATACAAGAATCGTACTCCAAAGACACGCCCGAACACGCTAGCCCGACTCTCTTAGCCAGGCTCTCAACTCCAACTAAAGTTTATCATTTTTTTTTTTTTTTTTTTTT